TTCAAGTGATCCAATACATGTATTTCTGCCGAAAGACTAAACCTATAAAAGACCATTGTGTTCTGTTTGTCTTAGGAAGATCAATGGCTTAATGAAGGGAATTTATAGGAGCTCTTAAAGTGGCTTTAACGGCATTAGGGCTACTTTACTTTATTATCACTCTAAATTTAGAGCGAATTTCATGAATATATACCCTGGTTACTGGATGAGGGCACATGCTTACAATTTTGACCATGTTGAGAGGTTGAGCAGTTGAATGACTGGCCATAATGCCAATTTAGTTTATTTGAAACGCCCCTGAATGATGTGCAAATGACTGTGATTGGTTTTTAAACAAATTAATAGAGCCAGACTAGGTCTTTCGCTAATTGTTGGTTGATTTTTAACCAAGAAGCCTGGGGTAAGCACTTTGCTGTTGATTAATCATAGAATTTTACGTATTTGTTAAAAAAGCACAAAATTCATTTCCATTATTTCAAAAATATTTTCTAAAAACTGGTGATTTTAAGCAATCCAGTGTTATAATTAAGTACTAGAATCCCTGGGAATATTTTTTGGATGGAAATAAGTTTCGAAATAATAATGATCTTTGCTATAGTACGAAAAAAGTACAAAATGATCACAGATGGTTTAGGAGTTCTGGAGATCACAGACATAATCTAAACCTGGAAACTAGGATAATTTGACCTTGAAGTCGAAAGCTACTTCCATCGAACGCCTAAAATGAATAGCAAAACAAAAAACTGCATGATTTACAACTTTATTTCACTTCTGTTTTGATTAAATGACCGCTCTTTTTCGATTGCTTTCGCATAGTTTGAAGTTTTTCATGCCTTTTATACTTCATAGAAGTATTCGGAAAATGACGGCAACAATATCTCCAAAAAACTTGAAGTTTATGTTAAAATTTTGAAATTATATTCTCGGATTCCAGAAAATGTAGATACCGCAAATGATTCTTTGAACAATTTAAAAACCTCTTAATTTTGCTAATTTAGTTTCTAAGCCATGAGATAAACCAACTTTCCGTCTCAAAAGGCTTTACTCTTCATTCATATCAATGCACCGATTTATTGAACTTACAATTATTGAAATGTTAAAGGGCTCTGATATCTAGAGCTATAGCATAATTAAAGGAAACGCATGACCTTGATCTCTTTTCAATCACACTTTGACTTATCCATCCTAATTCTTTCTCAAAATTTCTCTTCGTCAAAAGTCAGAAGTTTCCGTTGGGAGGTGTAATGAAGGAAGTCTAGGGAACCCCAGTTAAGAGGAAAATAATGGTTTGTGAGAACTGAGCATGTTAATAACCAATCCAAAATGGGTGAATACGCCTTCTCCAACGCATAATAATTCATGGCTAATAGTTTAAGAATAATTTTTGACATTTTAATAAGTGATTGTTTTTTCGACAACTTGGCATTTTTTCAAAAAAACACCTACAATTGACAAGTTCTTATCTCCATTGATATATCGGCATGTTTATCCGCAACTCCACTCAATCTTCCGCTTGTTTAGACCAATCGTTCCTTCTACCTGATAAATAATAAATAATAATAAAAGATGAAGGAAGATTAGTGTTTACTGCCAGTTTTCGTTGTCTAAAAGTTTGCTCTAGACGGCTTCCTTCCTGATAACTCTCCTCTATCCACACCCCCCCCCTCCCATCCCTTCTTCAAAAAGTGATCTAGGAAGTGATCATTAAGTCGTCATTTATTTTACCAAATCAAAAAGACAAGATTAGGGGAGGGGGAGAAACAGACAAGTGAGGAAGAAAGAAGAGGAAATAAGGTGGAGTAGACAAGAAGATAAAGAACGAAAGTGGAGCGGACAGAAAAGGAGGGTGAGGGGGGGGGGTGGGAGAAGGAGAGGAATCGGGGCATAGGATATATGTCATTTGCATTGCTAAGAGGAGCAGTAGGAGGAGATTTCAGTTCCGACAGAGATGAGTGCATTTCTCTATGCACTCTTGCGGAAATAAGAGAAACTGTGACAACCCACATCAGAATCATCAGATGGAGATAGAGAACTAGGGAAACGCGGATTGCGGTATGTACACTTAAACATACACTCCCTACTATAAATCACTTTTACTCAAGTCAAGTCAGGTGTGAAAGAAGATATAAGGAGAGAGATAGATAGGTAAAGATGAAAGAGGTAAAAAGCATCACAATTGCAGTATTAGTAATAGGTAGTTGTGGTAGTAGTGGTGGTGGGTTCGTGCGCTGAAATCAAAATATGCGCGTACTTATATTACACGGAGGGAGTGGAGATAGATGGAATCTGATTTTTGTGACATACTTTTTCTAGTTCTGTCATGAATCTAGCTCTTGTCTGTTTGAATAATTTATAGATTAAAGTCGGTGAGAAAACGGAATTGAGAAGAGAGAAAGAGGAGAAGAGAAAGAGAATTACGCACAAAGAAAACAAAGGCAATACACAAAGGATGAAGGGAGAGGGAGAGAGAAAGAGAGGAAATTGACGTTATCCGCATTTGACCCGGTGAGACTGCGTGTGTGTGTGTGTGTGCGTTTATATCATCTGTCAACTGGAGAAAGAAAGAGGGGGGAGGGGGGGAGGGGGGGGGGGGAGAGAAAAATTTTAAGTCATTTAATTGTCTTTTCGTCTAACGGAATGTCATCTTCATCTGCTTTGCCGCAGAGTGGGGGGAGAATCGAGTGAAGTCAATTTATAGGCCTAGGAGTGAACAGGAGGCCCGATTTGCCGATTTTTCAACCGTCATTCACCTGAAAGGTGGCAAACCAAGAAAATTAATAATCACAACATAGCACAATGCTTTATGCAATTAACTAAAATTGGAAAGGGGATTCAGTGTAATAATAAGTTAAATGTGAAGGCATGTCAAAAAATATCGGAACACAAGCCTTGACCACTTTGAGGAAATGAAGTACACACAGTGAGCTTCCGACCGGGTGGACATACATACTGTTTCAGTCATCAGACTGTCTAAAGATACTCATGAAAGAACTCAATTGATACATTGGATGAAACAATAAAGCTTGGAAATTCAAAATTGTTTACGAAACACGCATAATTTGATTGTGAATTCACAGGCGGGTAAAATAGATTTCGATTATCGGTCCATTAAATTTCGCGTTGGAAGATGAAACGAACCTAGTCATGGTTCATCAGCGCATTTGAAAATCTCCAAACGATAAGAAATAAGTTAGAACCTTAAGATTTATAACATATTGATCTACAAATGGAATCTTGCAATGTGGCGCTTGGAATAGTTGTTGGACAAGACTTTCTAATTTTAAAGCTTTATAGAGAGCATATCGAACTATTTTCATTCTTTTAAATTGGTTCTTTTCTGAGTAAAATTTAGGTGTTACTAAAAAAACGAACTCCTTTCCCTTGAAGGACTATATGTTTGTTCCAAAGATATTCAATAATCCGGAATCCTATTGCGTTAAAATATAACGCTCTTTGAGACAAAGATATAAGTTTGAATGACTTTCACTTTCGTCCATGAAAATCTGTTTGCTTATCCAATGAAATCGTCATTTTACAAAATGTCCTACAATTTAATCTCGATTATACATGTCCCGAAACTCTCTAAATATTTCTCATAAATTTCTGAAGTTTTAGTATCGGTAATCTTCAATTTGAATAGAATGCTATGCTACAACGTGAAAGATTCAATCTCCACAATACGTAACTTAAGGCTCTTAGTAATTCAAGTCAAGCGTTACATTTTTAGTAAAAGACGTCTTCTAAAATTGCCTTATTATCTTCATCTCCATTACTTCCAAAGATTACCATTGATAAATAGTGAGAGAGACACTGCCTAACTAATTTGTGCTCCCCACCCCACCTCTAGCTAATGATCAGATACGAGGCAAAGAGGAGAAGAGAAAATTAACGCATGAAATTATACTACAAACGAAGGAGAAATATTTCCGCTTTGATGGTGCAAGAAACTTGGTGTCTTTGATCAAAAAAGTGAAAATGAGCACACTGTTTGCATAGAGAGGGGGGGGGATAAAAACTGAAGCAATACTCACATCAACAGACGAGAGAATGGTGGGGATGAGACTGTGGATGCTGTTGAATAAGAACCAAATGTGCTTTATCGACTAATAAGCAGGATTGGGATCCTTCAATACTTAGGCGTTCAGAAACAATAGTATTTCTAAGCAAACATATACCATTCAACTTCAATGCCTAGTTCGCTTCTTAGGCAGCTATTTTCAGGTTAATTTGTTTAAAAATTTAGCAAAAAAAGATCATTAATATTCGATGCTTCACCTAGAATCCTTACTCCCAAACATTAGAGTAAGCATTAGAGCTGAATTTTGAAAATGTCAATCAAAAAGCTCAAACAGTATCCCATCCGACTTGCACGAAGTTTCTCTTACTCCAGCCTACGAGCTAATGCTCGGGGAGATTAAGAAACTGAATGGAGAAAAAATGAATGACGCTGTTAACAAAGAATAAAATAACAAAATATATAATGTCAACATGTCTAAGATGTTGTGTAGAAATAAACTTGGAAATGTTCCAGGAGTTCATAAATCCCTAGATGGGAAAAATGCTGTGCGAACATGAATGACAGTGATCAGTCAATGCGCATTTTCTTGGCTAAAATCGACAGGACTTCCGTCCTTGCAGACGACCTAATATTTTCCAACAATGTGAAACTGGTCTATATAACTTCTTCTAGCTCAATTTGTTCTAGTGGCGCACATGTGCAGGAAAAAACACGAGATTGATACTCGCTGACGCACAACCAGTGACGCAACTTGAATGTTAAATTCTGTGAGACGGAATAGGTTTTAACATGCTAATTTCTCATGAGAGTGCAGAACATTTACCTTCTCTATGTACATGTTTCGTTTTGGTGGCACTTCGATTAGTAGGCTTCCGAAGAAACAATATAAAACATATGAAATAATAAAAAATGAATCATGCTTTAAACATACCCATAAGCTATTGTTCACAAGGGAAGGGAAGATGGGAGAGATTGATAGAAGCTATTCCTCCGGAGGCGATAGATTGAGAAGAAAGCCCGGTGAAGCAGCAGCCGAACACGACTCTGATGATGATGTTGACGACGGTGCAGATGCTGAAGTCGACGAAGAGGAAGAAGGCCCTGGGGAAGAGGAATCTACAGAAGGAGCTGAAGTTGCTACCACTCTGGTACTTGGTGATGAGACAGCCGCTGACACCGCAGTAGGTCTGTTGCGATGATTGCGAGGAGCCAACTCAGGTCCACTGCCACAATCAATGAAACGATCTTCGAGGGTGAAGTCATGGAGGATATAGGGTGTGGGAGTTACAGGTCTGCGTTCTGAGGGAATGGCGACCTAAATATGAATAAAAAGCAATTTGCCAGCAAATTCACTGATTCGCTTACTATAGCTCCATTCTTTTAGAATGGTCTAATCTACCAAAACAAAGTGGTATCAGCTTCGTATTACCCCGTGAAGGCTAACCATTTAGCAAGGATATTACATGCAATATGAGATTTTGTAGTAAAAATAAATATTTTAAACAAACAATAATCGCCAGTAAAAACAGAGCAAGTAGATATGAGAACTGCAAAGAAGCAAAATTTTTAAATGACTCAATTTCGAAACTTGAATTACTACTGGATGCACTACTATGTTCTCCCTATATGACAGAAGGGTCAGACGGTAAAATTGAAAATGCTGGCCCTCCATGAATCGACCGCATGTTGGGAGGAAAGAAAGATAAGACTGAAAGTAAAAATTGTTGCTCTTAATCTATAGAGGGGTAAACCCCGAGGTTGCTCTTTCAATAGGCGTGAGCGTCCACACCTCAGACACCGTTCAATGCCCAGAATATACAAAATAATGAAAAAAATTATTAACACCGCAGAAACGTCAACAGTTGAGAGATGTCCCAATGCTAACAATCTCAGATTCGATAGCTCTTCCAACGACAGGTTCCCATGAAACTAATTGTAAACTCCTTTAGCCGACCAACGATGCTAAATTTGTGGTCCTACAAAAAAGCAAAAATGCTTACCCCGTCCCTCAAAATGGCAAAGAAAATGTTGATTCTGTCGATTGTAAAAAAGCTACCTTTCTTGAAAAGCATGCCATTAGAACATTCCCTAAAATACTTGAAAAAAGTGGTGTCCCAAGCAATCCAAACCTAAGAATAGTACGTGAAATCGCTGTGTTTAATAATAACTTCATTCCATATACAAGTCATATTATTCCTTTTATTCGTAGTGACGTCTTTTCGCACACCTTCAAACTTCTCTCCAGAGAATACAATTGGACATATTTTTAACAAGGAAGGGAAAGCGATATTGTTATGTTCATTACATGATACTTTCAAGTTACATTGATGGCCCGTGACTAACTCATTTAGTAGGCTTGCAAGATGTTCAAGAAATTATCGTGAAATGTTATTCAAGGACTGAATATCTTCATGTCTTGGTGAAATAAGACTGCCAAAGGCAAATATACATATTTTTAGGGAAAAAATGGGGAGAATCCTTTTGCATAATTAGTCAAACTGTTGCTAAAATTTCTCCTACGTAGAAATCGAGAGAACAACTACGAACCTGTGAATGGAGTGTATACTGAGATGCCCCCATAACAGCTTCTGATCGCAGAACGGTGAGCGCTCGTCGGGATTTTCCACCGCTACTCATCCCACTGGTTCCACTACTGCTGCTGTAGAGGCCTCCGGTCGACGATGAAGTGATATTAGTAGAAAAAGTAGAGGCGGTACCAGCAGTAGAAATTTCAGAAATACTAGAAATGGCTGTGGCAGGTGGAGGCTGTACTATGACTCCGCTGCCTGGTCCACCTTCGCCTGCTACCCCACTGCTGGCTCCAAGACCCGGCTCCGTATGCCGACGATTTACCTTCCGACGTTTCCTCTTCTTCAGCATTGTTGCCTGCAAAAGATGATAAAGTCAGTCTAGATCCTATCTTAGTGCCAAAAATCAGCGTTTAAAGTTTGGTGAGCTTGTTTAATGCTTCGGTATTTTGCATATTAACTAATCGTACCTTTGCTTCACAAAAATACCCAATAGTCGAACTTTAAGAGATGACGGATATACATGAAAAAGTTAGAGAAATAGAAAGATGGGTCAAATCAGGGAGTAAATTAAGATTAAATTTCAACGTAGATTGAGAATTAGGTCATTTCACCTGGATACTTCCTCTTCTACATGCCACATATCTCTGGTTCTTGTACTCAATCAGCTAACTGACCACCGGATAGATGCCTACATTTAATTCTTTTAATGCAAATAATTATGCTAAGTTCAATTGCTCATAATTTACCCAGTGGGAAAAGCGACTGATAGTACCACCACAGAGCAGAGCACTGCTTTGAAGGCCTCAAAGAAAGGGAATGGGCGTTTCGGTATTGCCGCTTATGGGCTTTATTTTAGTAGTTCATTGAATTTGGATGAATGAAGGCTAAGGAGGAAAGTTTGTGTACCTTCACATACGCCCTATTCTTAAATATGCATGTATAAATCCACTTAGTTTGGTATAGAAATAGACCACACACGTTTCTTGAGAAAATATTGACGGTGTCTCCAACTTCAGATGGCATATTTTGACCAATCATCAGCGTTATAAGATATAATACAACAAAGTCAATTCATAAAGTAGAACTACTTAAATGTGGAGAGAGTATTACCTTTAAAGCGGAACGCAGAACAACGATTTGCCCAGGCGATTGAATCCATGGTTCGCCGTCCACTTGCACAGGAATATCCGACTTCAACGTTATCCGTATCTAAGAGAGAAGCACATTTAGCTTCATATTAAAATTGAGCAGGACCGTAAAAATGCTGTGTTGAGAAATTCCGTTAAAACCTGAAGTTGTATCATACCCGAATGCAGACTTTCCACTTTCAGACCGATTTGACGTTGATTTCTGTCATGTACGAAGCAAAACCAATCAAGAAACAGCAAAAAGAATATTATGTTTCCATCTGTGCGTCCGTAAACAAATATTTTCTTACTTCCACCATTTTAAATGACATAATACCCATTCAATCTGGTCAATCTACACTAATCACAGCCGAGAGTATGAACCCTCCAATTCTTATTGGCCAGCTTCACCAGTTCGCTAGACCTGAATATGCTTTCACATTCAAATTTTTAACTTACTACAGTAGGAAATAAATTCAAAAGGCGTGACATTCTGGTTGAACAAATTACATTTCATTTATCACTAAATGTGAATTTTCTCTCATCTACTTTCTATTATAAACACGACCCTAAAGAGGTACGAAATGAGATGCAAAAAAAGAGTTAGAAATTTAAAATAAAGTGGCATTAGTAGCAGGTTAATTCAAAATGAAGACGCTAAAGAGCATTGCCATTCCCAATTTTCCCCTAGAATGACAGAATGATTGACAGTAATATCACGCAGCATCAAAAACTACTGCTGAGGCGTCAAAACTGAAAAAAATGGCTTAATAGCCAGCGCACAAACAAATCCTGCGAACTTTAACTTCAAGCCTAAAAACAATATAGAAGTTGCAATTCAAATAGTCGATGTACAATTTCCAGGGTAAAGCTAACTGATGATGAAGAGGTGAGAGCCATAAAATGGGAAGTGCGTGGTAGCTGCAATAACAATTCCTACATAAAACCAAGTTGCTACTGGTGTCACACTTTCGATATAAGGCTTTCGTAGTTGAAGTACTTTTTGGGAGAATTCCGTAAAGTTAATTTTGACCTATGAAAGTACTTATATGGAAGTCGCAGCTACTGTATTTTATCAAGACGAAATATTTTCATTGGCTTGTATTCTCGTAAACCAAAGTTTATTAACCAAGCTTACGTTCGTCAGATAGAGGAAAAGCAGACAAATTTAGCATTTGAAAAAGATTGGGTAACGATGTTACATTCCCCTTCAGAGTTATAGAATAGTCATTTAGTATAAGCTGTCTTAGGATTAGAATCTACAGGCAATCAACCCCCACCCCCCTCCCCCCTCTATCTATGGTCTTCAGAACAATCGAACAGAACCACAAATCGGCTCCCAACTCTGAGATGTCCTGTCAGTTAAGTAATTTTGGTGGTTTAAAGCAAAGCATCGGACTTTCTAATAGCCCATCCTAATTCAGCCTGATTAGCCCAATCACATTCCTTCTCGTTCAGCACTGAGGCTTGTACCCCTAGCTAATAATTTCTCCATCATATTTACAATACTCTCGCATTCTTTCATTTCTTACTAATTGTTCAATACACCTGCAGTCCAACCGAACCCCTGGCCTTCCAATTTGAGATAGCCTGATGCTTTCCTTTAGGTTTTAGATGGATCGATTTTCGATGAGCGGCAATTTAGACCTATTTGTTCTTACTAGTGAAGTGGCCTTATTGACAGAACTTCCAAGACCTCAGACAAAATACCTAGTTATCCTAACCACTACATTTCCCCATTCTACTTATTCAATTATAAAATACGAAGCCTTGAAGAAAAGTTGCGGTCCAGAACAAGATCAGGAACTCACATGTCCACCCTGAGCAAGTCGAGTTCCAGTGCGCAGACCAGAAAATATCTGTCCCATATGTACTACACCAGTGACACCAACGACTTCAAGCAGGCCATCGTAGTGGGTGGGTTTGGTAAAGGCCTCATCTTTCTCCACTCCCCAGGGATTGGCGCCTGCGCCCCAAGAAAGGATGTTGAGAATTATGATGCCCTCGATAGGAGGCAAGTCAAGTAGTTTACCGTCCACCTCTATGAGCACATTCTGATGTAGATCCTTGCACTTGGTCTGATTCACCATCTTACGCAGGCCCATCTTGAAATACACGGATTTATTGTGGATCCTAGTTAAAGAAAAAAAATGCGATAATGCAACTGAAAGAGCTAGCTTATCAGAAAAAATGGCGACATTATTTAAAGCAAAATCTAGTTCACGTTAGAGACTTTGCTTTAAAATGCGGTCACCTAGTAATCAAATGAATTCAATTGCCTGGCTTGATTCTCGTATGAAAGGATTTGAGTATATGCAACAGATAGAACCACTTAGTTTTAGGTTATCTCTTCATGGTGGAACACTAAAACTAGCTTCACTTAAACGTAATGAAAATTGAAAAAAAGATGTTCATCAAAGAAGAGGAACGAATGTTCATTTCTCACGTATGCAACTGGAAACGTTATAATTCTGAGCAAAAAGAGGGTCAATAGCTTGTTCTCTTCAATAATTAGACATTCACAACAAAATAGACGGCGAAACCACCAAGCATTTCCTACATATTTCTCCACTTTTCTTTTGAGTTGATCTTAGGGCATTGTCAAAGTTAATGCACATTCCGAAACTTTCCAGGCTGTAATGCGCATCATCGTCTTTTAATACAGGTCGTAGTAAGTTTTCGTTTGTATAGGTGAAAGGGAGACAGAGAGAGAGAGAGAACAAAAGGCATAGCCAAGGAAAGCGAAATCAAATTTGTTGTCGCATTAAGATCCAACATTAAACAAGTTGTCCTGCCATTATGGCTTTGCATAAAACGTTAAGATGAATAATATGAAACCAAACAATGGAATTGGTTCACCCTTCATTGGCTTTGTTTAGTCCCAATTAAATTTAAATTATTTTAAATTCCAATATTTTTCCCTTTTAACGAGCTTAAATGCAACCTTATAAATGAATTTCACTTCAATTTAGCTTTAAAAAATAAGAACGTTGAAATAATTAATAGAAGGTAAATAAAAGCCCCTTTTAGCGGAATCACAATGCTAAATTGAGGCGACAACACTGCAAAAAAACCAGACGTCGGGAGAATAGCAGGAGAGAAGAGCAAGCTTCCGTTTCGATTGAGGGATTGGCTTAAAAGGAAAATGCAAAAAATCACTACACTTAAACAAGTCTTACAGAAGAAGAGCACATTTTCACTGATATTTCACTTCCGAGACTGAAAAGCATCGTAAATAACGTAGCAGTTATAGCACGTTGGAAATTCAATTCACACAAAGGCGTGTAACTTACTAAGGGGAGATATGGCCAAAAGCCACCTTAAATGAATAGGGGGTATTATAAACAAGATTTGGCCCAGTGTTAAGCCAAAGGTCACGAGACCAATACTCATGGCACATGCCCAATGATGAAGGCAGGAAAATGAGCTGGTTTATTCGGGTCAAAATGAGATGGGGAAGAGTTTGAGTTTCACACAAAAAAACCATTTGCTATTTATGGTTCTTCCCAGCATCAGATATGTTTCAGAATTCTTTCCCTCAACAGTCTTGCAAATTATCACATCTTATCATACTTAGACCAAGTTCAGACATAACTAGTGCATGCTTAAACTCTCAACCCCTTTTGGCAAATGATCTACTTTCACTTAAGGGATCCTTAGAAAGTATGCTGAGGAATGGGTTAAAATTGATTTAAGTAGCATAAAGGTAGTTTAATTAGCGCTGCGCTATAGTGAACATTTATACAGTAATTAGGTGAGAAATTTGAAGTTCCATAGCTCAAAGAGCACCACAAGCAAAGAAAACTTCTCCATCATATAATATTCAACAGATACGTATTACACTCTAGAGACAGAATAATTTGAGACAGGAAGGCTGGAGAGGGCAGTAGACGAGTTAATTTAATATGGATATTTGATTAGCACATTTATAGCGCGGTAGTGTTGGCTAATCTAATTAGGCGAACGCATTTTGGATCTATTTATTCTGCACAGCACATTATTCCTCACTCCAAATTGGTTTCCTCACGGCGCATGCACAGCACAGTGTTGCGGTTTCTATGGAAGAAACACACGATTTTATGCATCCAGAGAAGGAAGATGGACAAATGGAAATAATTACTTCAACTGGGAGAATGAATGGCAAAAGTGCAACTGGCTATCTGTATTGAAATGCTCTTAGAAAAATGGGTACTTTAGTGTGGCAAGTCTGGCTCAATTAATTATGAAAGGCGTTTGAAAAGCAGACACTAAAAAATTATAAATTTTCATAGAGGGAAGTAAACTGAGAAAAGAAGATAGTAAAACTGTCCAATCTACAGGCCAAGAAAAAGAGAAGTGGACATTAGGACATTAAAAGATAATTTTAAAATTTTGTACTTCGAAATTGCGTTTTTTACATAAGTCCTCTTTATCATACCTCAATGGTCTGATATCAAAATGTCAAGGGTTCTCCAGAGTGAATTCATTCTTGCGGTATCTAGTATTTACAAAACGCCCTAACAATACATTGGTAACGTCGAATAGCTAACAGGAGGATTGACTATAACAAAACACCACAACTTGTTAAAAACAACGTCTGGAAAAAAATTAAGCGCAATATATTTGGAGGTAATTAGGAAAAATAAGAACACTCACCAATCGACAGCATTTGTCGTAAGTGCTCACTCGTATGTTAAATTAGGCATATATCTTAAGTGACGATGTGAAAGAGCATGTAAAGGAAAACTGCTAAAGGGGAAACGAAGTTGAAATGTCGAAAAAAATTAGATTTTCCTACTAAAACAATTTACATATAGTTAAACAACGCAACACATTAGCCTCATTTATCGTGCAGTAGATTATCGTTTATTGGATTTTGCATTCACACCAAGCCGTCAAATATTGCGATTATTGTCTAATTAAGAAGCCTACCATTCTATAAAGGTGAATTTATGTTCGTGACAAGGGCTTCGAGTTGCAGGTTTCTTTGCGTAGTCGGAGTAGATATACCATATAAGGGGTCAGTTAAACGATGCGAAACTGTTACCAAACCCAAAATCAAACATTTGTGATGCACTTGAGAGAAATTAGCAACCTTCATCACTCATGCACGGGAATATCGACTATTAGGTTCCCGTTTTCACATCGGAATGTATACGACCACCCGTAGAGAAGCCTTTCCAACAAGTGATTGTTAACCAGGTAGCCAAGCAGTTAACACACGTTCAAGCCAATATAAGTAGATCTATTTGTCAATAGCAAAGTATGAGATAAAATTCATTTTTGTACTTCTTAAGTCTGTTTAGCTGTAGCTTTAGCAAAAGAAAACTGGGAAACTTTAGAAAAGAGCAATCAAGTCTAAAAGATGGAGCCACTAGGAAATTGCAATTTTTGCAGCATTTAATCCTTTCAGCATTACTTTACCCAGATCTAGAGCTACAAATCACACCTATCCATAGTATAATTCCATTTTCAGTTCCAACTGCAACCTAACGTATTAACCCGCTCCTTTGGACTAAATAGATTTACAAAAGAAGTACGCATTTTCTTACTTAACTTTAATAAGTTCAAAGTGAACGCAGTCACTTCATTTACTATCAAGTCGCCTAATTAAACACCTACACAAAGCATTACTAGTTGTAGCAAGTGTGTAATATAGAAAAAAAGAACAGAATTTAAATCCGTTTCTATTTGAATGAGAAAAAGTAGTCAGTGACGGCGGCGGTCTTAATTATTTAGACACCAAAAAAGAGCAGCGTGGAAATGCAGAGAATGAGAAGAGACAAAAAAGTAAATAACGACAGAATGACCTACTTAATCGGGAGAGAGAGATAGAGAGCTCATGGCATATATTGACAATGACACCTACCTCTCCCTGGTCTTTAATCCTGCAAGACGACTCCATAATAATAATTAACGAAATAAGATTTTGTCACAGGACTAAATAGGACATTATCCTATTATATTCTCATGGACCGCAATGTTAAGGTAAAGTATATGACATGATTCACTGTCAAAAAAGTGCGGCGCCTAGTGAAAATAGAAAAAAATATTAGTTTAACATCCTTAACATCTGCAACTTGAATTGGAAGTTTGATAAACATCCACAAGAAATTATTCCAACATAGCGAAAAGACACCTAAGCAGAAAAAAAGAGAAGCAACCATGGAATGCATAGGGGTTGGCAGATGCGAACTATGCCCCCCCCCCCCTCCAATATACAATAAATTTATAGAGGTACGTTATGCTTGCAACATTACTAAAAATCACAAGTCAATGCAACTAGCCTGCTATTAAATTTGGCGGGATTTTCCTCACGAGCGAGGTGAAAGTCGAGATTGAGGTCTGCATCAATGCCCAGGCCGAAGTAGTTGTTCATAACAAATATGCGGCTAGTGTCCTCATTGGTGTTACAAGCATTCGCTTCAATTTGAAGTTGCTTCTTCTGTGCATCGCTCTCCACCTGGTCCGGTTTAATCACCACTGTCCACCGATCAAGTCGTATCTCTTCAGCCTCCACAACATCTCTGCAATGAGGATTTAGAAAAAAAGAATTGACATTAAATTAATTAATTAAATATAAACTCTGTTGTTACTTATATTCCACTCCCAGTTACCAGTAATTTAGCATAATAATTGAAGACAAGTAATGTGAGCTTTGTTAACACTAATTTGGATAGTTATTAGAAAAGTCCGTCGAGAAATGGTTTGCTTCTGTTGCTAAAAATGCATTTTTCATCAGTAAACTATGAAAAAAGAAATCTAGTTAGTCTAAAATCAAGGCTTACAACAGAGGATGTTGATAATCAATGACCGCACACTTTCCAAATCGTGATAACGTATCTACTTTTAATATTGAAGTGAAGTTAGTTAGATTTCAGAAGCTCATTTGAGATAAATAGACATTTCAGTTAGGCTATACAGGTGATTCCTCGGCTGATTGCTCCTCAGCTATTTGAAGAGACGTGGTGAAGAATGGTGAGAAATAGGACCTACTCTTAGCTAGCATCAAACCTATAAATCACTGCTTAAACAAGCTAAACGCTAGCAACGGTTATACTTGGAGATATAAAGATGCGCACTTTATTTTGCGATTAAATAAAGCTGGAGGAAGGATGCGAAATATGTTAGTGAAAGACTCGAGAATGGAGACTTTCACAAAAGTCTGCATTTTAGTTCGAGCCCCTCATGAATCTTCGTTTTTATAAACGAAATCTTCGCATTTTTATCACTATTTCATTGAATGGAAGATTAATAGCTACACTAAGCCATCTAAAATTTTGTCTTCAAGACAAATATTAATAAACAATTTCCTTTAAAAAAAATTAATCAGGAGTTTATCTGCCCTAAATTTGATAGCATTGATATGGGTTTGAATAAAATATTCAGATATCGTTAAAGGCACATCATGCGCCCATAACAATATGAACGCAGTTGACCGCTCAAGGCTGAGACATGGCTAAATTAAAGGCAGTGAAAAATGCTATTGTGATTTAGCTGTGCTTGAGGGAAACACTATCAGGTAGCATACACGGTTGCTAAAAGGCAAACCAAGGATCATTATGGGAAAAATCTGGAAATATTTTTCTGATTCCCGGTGGAAGACAATGAAACTCAATAAAAATCCTTGCCTCCATGTACAGTTATTATTGTTGTTAAAATAGGGATATGCTGTATGAAATTTCAACCAATCTCCTTACCGTAGTATTTGAAGAGGATCCTCAGTGCCAGTATAACCAGGACCCCAATGGAGGACACGGGCAAGGTCATTGCCAGTGCCAATGGGGAGAATGGCCATGGGTGGGGTAGGACAGGCTGCATCCTGGCCGACGTTATCCAGACAGGAGAGCGCCCAACCGACGGTCCCATCGCCTCCACACACGAGGATCTTGAACCGCAAGAGATGACGGAAGCAATGCAAACCCGGCAATGGACCTCCATTATCCAGATTAAACACCTAGAGAATAAAGTTGAACGGATGTACTAGGAATGTGGATTCAGAACAACGGCAAAACAAGTTTTATGTTTGCTTTCTTGTATAAAACGACTTTTCAGGAAGTACATAAGAAACTGAAGTGATTAAATGGCCTTAATAAACTTATCTCTACAAAATCAAGATATCCGTTGCTTTGAAATCTTATTTGAACATTTTTAAGCAAAATGTTATCAGAGGTATTGGCAATTGGTATTCCAATCTAACCTGTAAACATTAGATCAGAAAAGAGATATACAAATACAAGAGTTTAGATTTCAAAGTGTTTCTAACATCTGCCGAAGTGAAATGGAGAGCCCACCTTTTCAAAGAAATCCGATAAATGATTCGCCTCCATTCACTGAATATTTTCCAAACGACTTTCGAATATGACCAACACCTTCAAAAGACATCACTGGGGGGGACTTGAAGGCCATTTATTAGAAGAAGCTGAGCTATAGCATAAATTTTCAGATATATATGTATTGATCAAAGGATTTATTCTTGGGCATAACATTAAGGATAAGAGAACACAGTGACCACCACTACTTCCTAAAAGACCCTGCAGTACTATTGCGTCCTCCACACAGGCTTCATCACTACCAAATCTGTCTCAGAAGGAAACCTTCTTAACTGTCAAGACGGAATTATTATAGTAATGAAAGAAAGATATTCTCTATTTACTATCCTCCTATTTATGTCTAATACAATTTTCAATAAATATTAGATAGTATATCATTAATCCGTTAGTAAACGTGATTAACAAAATTAGAGGTCACTTTTGCTTAGCTAACCGGGGTGTTCTCCCACTCCCTACATTTTTAATTGGTAAAAGTAGATGCGAGGCTAGAACAACGAAAAAAGGATAATGGGACATTGGAGGGGCTTTATTCAGTGTTAATAAACACGTTGACATCGATAGTAAATGTGTTTAAGACCTGCAGTCCCTCAATTAAATACTATTGGAAATAAACATGATTCCACCCAAACGCGATAGGCCAAACGATTTGAGAATCGCTGCAATAAAATCTACTATTTTAATCCCTTCCACAGCAGATAGAAACTGGTTCAGTATAGTTATAACTGACTACTCAAATATGATATTTTAAATGTAAAGCATGAAATAGTATTATTATAATTCTACTGCAAATTTGACTGACTTCATATCATGCTTTAGCGTTGACAAGTACTCAAGTTTAATCAGCCAATATGACTTCCGTTGTAAATATACTTTGTATGATTCGAGATATGAAATCTCAATTTCCATCAAGCAGTTTCTCCTTTCCTCATAAAACCTGCCGTGACTTGTTGCTTGAGCAAAAATATAATGAGGTATTGTGAAGATAGTTTATATCGAATCTCGAATCTCACAGGTTGCAACTTTTCAAGGTCACTCTTCCTTGCTTGTCAACAACTACATTAAGCACCAAACAATCGCTGGTATACTTTGTTCGAAATTAGACATATACTCCATCACCATGAAGGAATCGAGCAGTCAATAGTAAAGGTAAGTTATACTCAACATTTGGATATTGATAAAACAGGATAAAGTCTATTCATTCGGCTTGTGTTATTCCAAAAAATTTTACCCATGTTTTAAATCCAACTAAATTGATGTGAAATTAGGAATTTGAAGCTAATTTTCAGCTACCACAAATTTGTACCTCACGAGTTAATCTTGCGTGTGAGCCTTGCGAAAACTTCTAGTGTGCGAAAATACACAGTGCCATGAGAAAGCACGACAAGAGACAGGATGGGAATTACCCTTTGATAAAATCTGTCGATTTAATTACTTCCGAAGGTAGACAAATTTGTAGGGGGGGGGGGGGATTTCACGGAATTTCGGGGAGAAAGGAGGAACATTTGTTTAAATAAAGTAGCAAAATCATTGGCTTAATTTCATTTTCTCAGAATTATGCATGTACTTAAGCAAGCAACGTCGTTGTTAGAAAATTGAAATCATTGCTCACAAAATAGCGAATAGGATAAACAAAGCTACTCTAATGTATGTTGAATGGGTAAAAGAACTCTCATTGAAAAATAATTCCAGAAATAAGACTAGTTTCAATATCCCTAGAAGGCTTATATTAGCATTCCACTGTCACAGACCCAAGATATATAAAAAGTTAACTCAGAAGATCCCTCTGGGAAAACCAGCAACCAAAATTCAATAAAGTCTTTCCAAGGCTTTTACTTTGAAGCTTTCCTTAAGTAACCCTATTCCAATAGGAACTAAAAAGAAGGCTCTTCACACTAAGTCACAACAGAGAAGAACCAATTAGAAGCAAAAGAAAGTTTTTAGCTTGACAAGGCCTAACGATTAACGTGAATCCCATACCTCAGTTAACTCGAGCGAAAACGGCAAAGTGCATGTTCTCGGAAAGGAAAGTAACGTCGTTGAAGCGTCGACAGAATCATTTTTACTCAGGCGTAATGACCAAGAAAAAATTACGGCCCAGCTCTGGCTGTTTTATGGCTTATAAGAGAAGAAGGTGGTTGAAATAGAAAGCAAAGTAGAATGTAATCCTTCAAGTTGATATCGGATTTAAACTTTGTCCCTTCAAAATGTAGTTAAAAAACGAGGAATTAGGAAGTAATTATAACGAATCATTTATACCAAATTCCCCCTTTCTTTGGCATCCGCAAGTCTAAATGTTGTAATGAACAATATTTTTTGATAAATAAGTATAATAATTTTTAAATAATTCATATGCTTTATATTAATAACCATGACCATTAATTTCAAATATAACGCCATTGGCTTGGAAGAGAGTCAGTGGTAGAAAATGGAGATTTCTCCTGCCCGTATTCATCGTGATATTCAGTGGGGTTATAGCTCAGGAGACCACTGGTTCATCTTTTATCAAATTAAGTTACAAACCCGTTAAAATATACCCTTTTAAAGTTCAACTAACTTAATCGTTGACAAGAGAGAAAGATGACCAAGAATGTGGAATGATAGAATGGGTTAAGGCATTTGAACAACAGGGAGAATGTTAAGAAAATGTGGATGAATCAATAAGAATTATCACTTATCCGAATCAATACCAGTTAACGCCCTCAAAATATTGCCTTTCCTCATTTCTTGCCATTGGTAACGCCAGTATGCTTGAATGATATTACCTTTTTTATATCCGAAAGTTAAGATATCACGCCTAAAAATTCCTATTTATGTCATAAAGGGAGGAGGAGGGTCAGATAGGGCGTTTCACATAAAAGTTGATGCATCATTTAAATATATTAGCTTATCTCGAATACCGTTGCATAGGTTAGGGCATCATCCAGAAACAATTGCGAGCGAGGGAGAATAAAACGGCATTTATCGATTCAATTCCAAGGCCGGCCATAAAAACGTAATGAAAAGATAAGATAAGTGATTATGGCAGAATGTCAAGATAAGAACACATTTATCTCTCTATAATTATCCCACAATTTAACTCATTTACCATCGGCGCTTTGCAAAGGCAGAAGACTGCATAACCTTGCATTGGAAAACAAAATTTCGATAGAGTAGCAGTAAAAATAGGTAACGATACACACACCCCAGCTGGACAAGTTTATACTGCAGAAGGATCTTGAGAATAGGAATCACAAATCCGGCACAAAAAAATTCACAAGCTAGTAGATCTACGAACCCCACTGCCGAGAAGATAGAAAAAATAATTGCAGCGGAAAATCAGGCTAAATCAGTAAAAGTTAAAAAAATAATTGAACAAAGTCGAGATGAAAAGTCATGGAATAGAGTTCAAGTCTTCCGTTTGGGAGAAGTACAAACTCATTTTCGTCAAATATGCCCAACGAATATTTTCCTCCTTCAGGAGGAAAAAAAATCAGAAGTTCCACTAACCCCTTATAAAATGATATACTCTGTCTCGCTCTCACATTTTTCGTCTTGATTTTTTGCTGCTAAACTTTGAATGAAATTATTTTTTTTATTATGTCAATTTTAAGTCTTCTTCACTAGACTCGTTTGAATGAGTAAATTCTCACTTGATGAGGATTGAGCAGTTTTCGAAAGGATGTGATAAGTTCCAGACCCTGGCACCCCCCAGACTTGACATTCACGAACACCAGCAGCGGTTGAGTACCCTCGAGGATGAATTCTGGTTTGATCCGGGGGAGAATCATTGCCAGAATCGGGCGATCCTCGAAGGTACTATTCTTCAACAATCGATACGCTTCATCGGCCTTTTCTGCATTGGAGTAGATTACCACAAGACTGCCAAAGTCGTAGTAGATCACTTCTACAGATAAAAGCAAAAAAATACCTTGGTAAATACGCACTTAGAGAGGGAAGTAGCTCAACCTTCCTAACTGACAGATGTCTTGTACAAGATGGGAGTTTCGATGGTATCGTTGATAGGACTCCCCCCACCCCCTCCCACATACACACGCACCCCGCCTACATGCGTGGTAAATGGTACAAATTATACGAGCAAAGCCATTTCCCATAAATTTGAATTCTATCATTGCTATGCTGTTTAGTGTCAACAACTTTATCATCTTAAGCGAAAGATCAACTGAATTGACTCGAATTCGTGCCTGAAATACTCTCAAACTATAATCGCTAGTAACATTTACGAGGTCTTAACTAATGCAAGAAGATTCAGATGAATGCATGACCAAGAGGTTCAATACACGGAGAACGAAAATTGTCCCAGAGGTACAATCAAGATTTTGAAGCTTTGAAATATGATGATACGAAGCAAAAGAAATTAGCATTAAACAACGGGGGAATGCCTAACTCTTGTTGCCACGACATCAAGTTAACATCATCTATTCGACTCTTCGTTGAATTCCTTCTGAGATACTACTTTACGACTGCGTTAATATGTTTGACATTGATTCCAATTGTTTCACAAACTAATTTTTCAAGTAAATATCACTTTAAACCAAATCCATAGAAGACTAATTTTGCTCCAGAAAGTTTGAATAAAATAGATTCAATAATAGCATATCACACCGAAACAAATCTGTTTTTAATGAATAATTATTTTTACTGCGCTATCCCTCACAAGTCTACGTGTTTCCCACACCTTCAATTCGTTTTTCATCTTCAAATTTTCTCCCTCCCGAATTTCAAGCATTCTTGATGAGCATGATTTGGCCTACTCGCAATTCTTGCAAGTCAGAGTTCAGATCTGTGACGGCCTCTTATTAGCTATAGCAGTAATCCCTATACTTGTGCTTTCCAGGAGTAGAATCTAAGCATTTATTAGTTAACCAGAAAGATTAACAAAAATTTTACTTTAAACAAGTTGGCTGTCTAGAAATAGAAGTGTTTCACTTAATAGACGAAGGTAATGGCAAATGGCCAACGATTTTTTATTTATATTCAAAGTTACAATGGATCGATTAAATCGGTTTCTTTTCACTTTGATCATGTTTACACTATTGAGCAGTTTGTATGGAAATAGTGATGCGAGCGTAATGAGGTGTAAATGGAGATCGACTTGACGGTTCAGCAGCTGATTAGCTGCCATTAGTTGTTTAGAGGAAAATCAATTCTTGTCAATGGTTACTGTAAAAGCTAGCGACTAAAGTGTAAATAAAAATATGCAGTGCTAAATGAAGCAAGCAAATAAACGCGGTTTTAGGGGAATATAAATCTTCTCATTTAACATATAATCATGGTATAGATATTTATTTAGAGACCCAATTTAAATTTTAAATTCTCCAAGCAAAGTAACGCTTTTATTGATAGCAAGGTCGTTCGTAAATCGCTAATGAAGAATAAACTTATACTTATATTTTATTAAACCTCTAAATTCATACCTAACCAATTTTAATGCCATTCATTACCTAATCAAGGAAGAAAGGAGGATAAGCAAAAGCCAGTGTTGAAAATTAAACAATTGCAATCAAAAAGTGATTTACTAAATAATTGAATCCGACTTTTATTCTCCCTAAACTACTCTCACTATTTAATGTCAACGGTAATAGTATGGAAAGTGTGGTAGATCCACCATAAATTGGATCAAATTCGATTTATAACAACAGATAATGTTAAAAAATAATAAACTGCATAAACACCAGTTTAACAGCTCATCGACAAAGTCACAACTGATCAAATATTGTTACTAGATGACAGACTAATGCGAATTTTCCAAATATAAAAGCCCACTATAGCCAAAGGAAATAGTCTTAATCCATTACTACTACTAGGAGCTAATGTTTAACTAAAGAAGATAATAAAGTTGAAAATTTCTCAATTGAAAGAGCTTTCCAGTTCAATATAATTCAAAACTAAATAAAATGCATAGCACTCCAAAACCTTCTCCTGGTATCAACTATACCTGTCAATCACCGGCCTTTCAGTTCTTTCTTACTCGAGCTAGCTTTGATCGATTAACGCAAACGCAGGAGTTAGAAGTCAAATTCGAGCTACAGATGGGTTAAACCTAGTTTTCGATAATGTCAGCAAATATTCGAAGCTTTTTAACTATTCGTAGTATAAGCATATGTGTATATAAAAATTCGGCTTGAATGCTTGCTCTAATACAATCAATTTAAGACCAGCGATATAAATACACGCAATTAACCAAAATGTCTTTTTTCAGTAATGGATTAGTTCAGAAAATAGTGATGTTTGCAAATTCTGGGCATAATAGCGCAAAAGTAAATGCTAGTATAACGCGACGTAAATCGAGTGCATTTGCCGGCTTTTGCAAGCACTCTCACTTGCTTCGTGGTGGACTATAGGAAAGCAGACAATATGGCATGTGATCACATATTGTTTGTTCCGCCGTTAAAGAAAAGGAAGCATAGATAATGGCAAATTTATACCGTAATCAATAATCCTCTCAAATGCAAAATACTCTGAGAATGTGAGGAACAATTGGCATCGGTAGCCTCAACTTAAAATGGGAGAGAAAGAACTCCCTAGATTTATAGACCAAGGAAAAGGGTAAGCAGCAATCGATCATCTTTACGAAGGAAGCAGAATTCGGCCTGCCACATGCCACATATCATGGAAGTCACAAATGATTCGTCAGCTAATTTTTATAGCTACATCGGTCTCAACTTATGGTTGGCCTCTGAACCCTCCAGATCTTAACCCGATGGGGTAGTACGTACGGGGCGCTGTCGGGAAAGACGCTAATTACCATGGCAAAACAAGTCAATCAGTCAATAAATATAACTAGAGCAACTTTTGTGAAAGTACACACCAAAGTGCAAAATCAACTTGCTCCAAAATCCGAGGCGAGTTTGAGGCAGTAATGGAGACCCTAAATTGTAATCATTTTGAAATAACAATAGTGTCGTTTAGTTTTATACTGAATTTCTTTACAGTTATTAAGTTTTGTAAATCCCGTATATTTGGTACTTGCAAAAATGAATGTTGATTTTATTTTAACTATTAACTACTACGAAAAGTCAACCATGCAATTCGGTTCTCCAGAATTTTAGAAATGAGCCAACGAATGGAGATTTATAATATTAAAAACCTATGTTTAAAGCAATACTAGACATATAAGCATAACAATGTATTGGTTTTGGAATTTTGACAAAAAAATAGCATTTTATTCAGTCTTTGAAAAATGGAGGAGCGTTGAGGTAATTTGAAATTTCGTAATCGAATCTCACTATTTATGTTGCAATCAAAGGATCGCGCTCCTATCGTTATATTAAGTGGACCAATTAAGCCCTTTTATCGGCAGCGTTAGACAGACTATTTCCAGGTGCTTTATACTTCATTTTTTTATTACTCTACTCATAGACAATCAAATTAAAGATAAATCGTAACGACATGGAATCAATATTTTATCCCGATGCATGGGGCATATTCGCATACGTCATAAGATAAGATAAACAAGGTACATCTAACATTTTATCAGCATCGATGATTTCGGAAGCCCAATAAATTATGATTAAATAGCATTACCAATAGCATCCCACTTATTTTGATATCCCAGTCGTTCAAGGAGAATTATTTCATAGAGGCGCTGGCTCAGACCCTTTTTGAGGTTTCCAACAAAGAGAGATACGCCTTGACCATAGGGGTCTTTGACAGAACGAATGTAGAATCGTGTCAACCGTAGGGCTCGCACAGACTCCAATCGAACATTATCGATTATCTCCCAAGGCCGATCTGTAGGATGAAGAACGCGTTCAACGAGACCTCGATCAACAACTGTCTCTACTAGGTTGAATTTCTTTGCGTCTAGGTACTAAGAAGAAAAGAGGAAGGCGTCAGTTCATTTTTGTGCCCTAGTAGTGCATTTGAGTTCAGTGAACTTTTCTCCAAGTAAAGTTTTGTTCATTGCTCACAAATTATTTCCTGATCCAAATTTCCCCGAGCTCATTGCCATTACTACGCTTCAATTATGAAACTTGGAGCGTTTAGTTCTCCACCATCGCCCTAACATTGCTTGAAGAGTCATCATATGTCCTCAAGTGGTTTGTTTCAATTAGAAAGATGGAGCCATCTAATCGGCGATTGAGTAATCAATGGTGTTCTGAAATTTTTTCATATTTTGTTCCATAAACATATTTGATTATCATACTCCCGAGTTGTCCATCGACACCGACAGACCACCCCAGCCACCCTCGTACACTCTAATATTGAAGAATGTCTCTAATAAAAGTGTTGGCTGCAGTCTCTACTCTGATTTTTACCGTCTAGCAATGGCAGTGGAATAGCTGGGAATCATAATCAGATACCTAAATGCTAGTAGTGCCTTTAAAATTTCATTCTAATGACCCTGGAAACTAATATTGGTGTGTATCCATTTTAACTTTATATTTACCTCAGTGATCCCATAAAAGCAATCGGAATGCTCCAAGCAAAGATCTTAGTTAAACAGGGAGGTGCATAACCTTCAAAATCATAGAAAGTGAACAGTGATCAGTAGGATTTCTAGCCTATAATAACTTCCTGCTTAGAGATGGTCATTTCAAACTTGGTCCTAGAAGTCGTCGAATGAAGCATGTACTGAATATACATTTTCATGGATCTGGGCTTTTGTTCATTCCCATCTATCCAGTCACAATTTCACAGCAAAGTTTGGATTACGTTGCTTCTAGAGAGAAGATCCACTGTAAAGTGCGCAAATTTTAATTATTACATTCAGTTTCACTGTTAAGGAAGGATTCAGTTGGTTCAAACTTTAGATTTCAATTAACACTGCAATTAGCAAAACATGTCACCTTGACTAAAGTACTAAGTTTTCCAAGAGCCCTGGCTCTACCTGTCAATCCTAAATGATCTCACACGGCCTTTAGATCTTGAAATTATTCTGAATTAACAGCTCTGTCAGTTATAAAAGTCATAATTTCATCATGATAAGAAAATTTGAAAAGTTTACATACCCCAACACCGAGCCGATGAAGAGATAAAATAAGCACGTCATGGGCTGAGGTTTCTGGGGTTATTGAAACTTGAATTGAGGGCACACTTATATCGGCATATTCTCTAAAATAGGATAGAAACAGGCGTTAGCCAAAGCAGATGTAGAAAGAGATCTGTTTGAAGTAGCATACGTCAAAGAGCCTGGGTAGACATTAATATAATCACGATTCTCTTCCCGTTCAATATATCGAAGTATAATCTGTGGCCGTCGGGTTTCAAACTGCAACTGTCGCTTAAATGAAGTGTTGGAATCAAGGCGATGTTCACTACCATCTCTTTCATTAATTTCAACCAGATAGAAATCATTTTCTTCATCAGGAGGAAGTTGGAATGCCTTGAGTGAGAGTTCGATCACTTTTCTAACAGAAACATTTTTGCCCAAAGAGAGGTAACGACATTGGTGTCGCCTATATCGATCCATCCCATCGTACACTCGAACGTAGTCTGCATAAATAGAAATTAATAGACTTACTACTGAAAAGAGTTTAAGTAGAAGGAATATAAATGATGGGGTGAAGGAGGAAATTACCATCAAAATCTCGGTCGGTTTTGTCGCGATTGGCTCGACGATCAAAGCCAGACTCCTCAAGACTTTCTCCACTACTAGTGAATTCATCCATCAGAGCTGGAACTGAATGGAATAGTTCAAATTAGGACCAAATATAAGTCAGAATTTCGAGGGCTGATTTAAAAAAAACTTACGTCCAGGAAAGAAGTCGGATTGTGGTTTGGGCAGGCCAATGATGTGTTCCATAAGAAGACTAGTTCTGGGAATAGAAACCGCCTGTGGGGGTAGCATAATGTCTCTCAATGAACCGTAATCACATTCGACGGGAAGGTTTCGAAAGCACGTATAATGCACCTAGGTATATTAAAAAAATAACCAATTTAGTACAAATACAATTGATGTCCTAAAATACATTTTGCTAACGTCTAGAGCATTTTAACGTATCTCCTCTTTCATATAATCATACAATCCCGTGGGAAGGAAGAATAAATGCAAAGAAATAAGACAACACGCAGACGCATGGAGAGAATTCAAATAATGGCAATAAAGCATGCAGGAGAAAAATTAGTCTACCCATTGAAATGTGAAAAAGTATCTGGTCGTTGCTTTAGCAAATTTTAAATAAATTATTGTTGATTTTAATTCTGACTTTTGGAGGCCCCTTAGTTAATAATAGTATGGAAACCAGACTGGCGCAGATCATCTGGAACCCACATCATTACACCAACGCCTAAAGCAAGACCGTGCCATATATCAAAACGCTGTTATGTGTACTTCTTTTTCGAAAACAATTAAGTTAGTGGGAATTAATTTCACAAAACCTACATCATAGCTCTTAATATATTTCGTTCGAAAATAAATTCCAGATAGGCGGTTTGCTGCCTTTTTACATAAAATTATACAAATCTTTCATACACCAAAATGTTTCTATCACATGTCTTTTCGAATTCATAATCTACGACTTTCTTCGCAGAATGTACTAAACAAGTTGGTATGCGCCATTCGCCATTCATGTTCAATTCCAGATTATGTGCAAAAGGGGAATAAGCTTGCTGAGCTAAGTACTCCCTAACGCAAAAAATAGCCCTACTTTTCACCAAGATGGGCCGGCCCGCAATTTCCAGCAAAAGTACACGTGATCATTTTGAGAGAATTAATGTACCACTACGGCCTTGGGCGATTACCAATAACGCCAGAGATCTGCTTAAGGCTAAAATGGGTACTTTGCGGATATAAACCCATAACATTATTTTCTGTTACAGGATTAGATGGACTCACTATGCACACTTCTCTTATTTCTCATCAAGACATAGATCGTTTTGCTTTTCTAAAATCAATATATAATCACGAATATTTCTCAGACTCATTGACGGAGATCATTTAATCCTTATAGGTACTTAAGAAAGAACAGTAAATGATTTTCTGATAGAGAAACTCAGCAACTATTACTGAGGCTGTCTAACTGCTTGAGTCAGCCGAGTGCAGTCAGTGCATTTACTTTTACACGCTCCTTATTCTTTTTTGATACCGTTTGATACCATTATAATAATAGTCTTGTTAAGACTTGGAGTTTAAATATTCCATCGGCTAGAATTGCTCCTTTATGTTAAAAAGTTGACCTCTGATTTTGAAATAAAATACTGTGGCCATTACCCCAATTATTTTGTGATATTGTAATTTTGAGAAATGCAATGGGTTACTTCCAAAATTTTTTTGAATCAAGGAAACTCACAGTAACGCCGCACCACTCGCACCGCATACCAGTTAAGCACTCAGCAGACCAACAAGTTTTCTTGCAGCTACTGCACTTGGAATTCGCGGGCAGATTTCCCTCTCTCCAGTGGTGTACGGGCAGATCAGTTTGTGGGGTGATCGTAAAGGGTAGAGGGGGAGGAGCCTGAGGAGACACAGGGCTAGGCGGGGGGTTGCTGGGGTCTCCCACACCAGGATTGCTACCCACACCGGCTAGTCCTGCAGATTGTGGTGGAGGAGAAAGAGGTGAGCTAGAGGTTAGAGCAGCATTAGAAAAAGACTGAGAGAGGCTTCCAGCTGAATTAACAGAACTTAATGTTGCTGCCGTGGTGGCAGAGATGGTGTTAGTATTGGCAGCAGCTGTGGCGGCTTGAATCGCGGCAGAACGCATTGCATAGGCGGCAAAAGCGGCCATCCCTCCAGTGCCAGGACGTGAGTGCACAAAGGGATCGCTTGTAACCCCACTGGTACCAGTAACGGTACTCCCAGTTATCATTCCTAGGGCAGAATTCAACTCGGGGATATCCGTCAGATTGCAAAATGAAGATAAGCCCTGAAAGGGCACTGGAACACTGGGCTTGCGGATAAGTGTTGGCGATTTCTAGAAAGTGAAATAATGGGGGTGTGATGTTCACAGAATTGGAGAATGGTAGAAAAATGAGGAATATTGACGGTGTGTGCAATGAGAGTTGCGTCATATCATTAGCATAATACTAATCAGCTGAGAGGGGAGGGGGAGAAGATTTATTCGCATAAACACGTAAACAGTATAGCGAGCCAATACATACACGTGTGTATGTGCCTGCATACTTGTTTATCCCAGTTTATTTTAAAATCAATGGTTATTGAGCCAGTAGGTGGTAAATTAAAAGGGACATCTAATATTATCTATTTTTTTTAAAACTGCGTGCTCATTAGCTGCACCCATTTTCTACATTAGCAACCACGTGAAATCTAAGTTAATTCAACAAGGCTTTTCTATTCCTCCCGTAGTTAAACTAAAAAATATATGGACTCGACTATTTTCTATTGTTTCTCATTTTGAAAGCAAATATGTCAATTACAAGAAAACCATATTCCTCCTTAAATTCAAATGGACTAAAAAGTGGTGAAAATTCGATTCGGTTTTAAGCCTAACTGAAAGGATACTCATTTCAGGCTTGAAATTACCCTAATTAGGATAAGTGGGCGTGTAAAATGCATCAAAAGCTAATTAAGTGTTCGAATTTCAAATCTATCCAATTCAAGGATAAATGCGTAATTTAAGGATTCATGTCCAAGTTTATTAAAACCCATGGGTTGTCAGAATGTTCTATTTTTGACACCAGATGAAAAATATACGAATTATTTTAAAATAAAGTGATTTATATATTTCCGACCAGTTGATGTATCTCTTGTTGTACCTTTCATTCAAAATTTTGATTAATTTGCTGAACCCTCACTCGTTATCAAGCGCTCATTTAGAAGCCATTTTACAGCAATTTCACGATTGCTTCAGTTAGGCCTTTGATAATAACTTTCGAAAACCAGTGTCTTAAGTAATTTTCTTTCATTGGATTTGAAGCATTAAGAAACGAGACTGGTGTTCTTCGAGTCATCGCTAACTTGATCGCTATTTACCGTTACTCATTTTCCCTTTTAATTCAGCTAGTGAGTTCAAATTAACAAATCCAGGAAGTAATTATCAAAACCCACTTCAAACTGATATGCACTATTAGGCATTCTTAAAACACCACAGAAATGTACGCCAAGGAGATTTATCTGCTTCCTAATAACATAGCAACCCACCGCATTCTTCCAAGCGCGTTATACCCGCATTTCAGTAAAAGAGCAATAATAGGATTACGCTATCGCAGAGCTATGTCTCACAGAGATAGCTCAGTGGATTTCCCTGAGAAATTGTTCAAGGCGTCAAGGAGTCTGGATGGTGGGTAACAATAATGATTTCGAACTCCAAAAATAGTATATTTTCGCTCCAACGAAATTCAAGCGAAAG